CCTCCTTTATAGTCCTCCAGCCCCTGCTAATCATGTTAGTCTCCCTTGGTGACAACCATGTATCTTTAATGCCTTCAACCAGCCACCCCATTAAGGCCTGCTCCCCCCTGCATTGGCCTAGGTTGAACAGCCTATATCGCAAGGATGCATGGGTGGTTATATAACTCAGCTGTGAAACTTCTGAAGGACTTAGACTGACATCATTTGCTCCCATTGAAGAATCGCGCTCAACACACAGGGACAAAACCAAGTTTCGGGATGCAAAAGCAAGAGGAATTTATTCATACACAGGCGCCTGCGGACGCAGAGTCCCGCTCGGGTCAGGACTTGCGTGCCGGGCTTAGTTTGGGGGGGCTTTTTATAGAGCAGAAGCAAGGTACAGAAGCAGATGCATGGTTACAAGATTATTATTAGTGCATTTCAATGGGTACAAGGTATGAGGAAACAGTATTGCCAAATTCAGAGGGGGCTATGGGTGAAACTGATTGTTATCGTTAACTTCCCAGTAGGGGCTGTTATCACTAACTTCCCGGTAGGGGCCTCAGGGTGGTGGCAGGTGGTCCGACTGCAAACGTCCTATCTTCCACTGCTAGTTTCACAAGACCTGGGTTAGAATCTTGGCTTATCGAATGGCTGATTACAGTTCTTTTTCTAAAATGGCCTTCCTGCTGTCAGTCGGGTCCTTCACTAGAACGAATTTAAATAAATTTATTAAAGGCATCAAGACACTGTTGCTGAGGTAGAAAAAGAAAGAGGGAATCGACAAGGGCCTTATGCCATTTGGAGCCTGTGATTTCTGTCTTGGTCAGCTAAACTTGCAGTGATAACATTAGAAGAAAGAAAGCATCCTGGAAGAAAGAACTGAAATGACACAGAGTGATGCAGGGCCAATGCAGCCGTGGGCTCACCTTCTAGTGTGGTGGTTTGAATGAGAATGTCCCCCATAGGTTCCAAGTAGTCAAACATTTCATCCCCACTTAGTGGTGCTGTTTTAGGAGGTCTTAGAAGGTGTAGCCATGCTGGAGGAAACATGTCACTGGGGATGGGCTTACAGAGTCCTTCAGCCTTGCCAGGTCTCCAATTGTTCCCTGCTTCCTGTGTCTGCTTGAGGATGTAAGATCTTAGGTTAGCTTCTGCTCCTACTCCAGCCACTTTTGCTGCCATGCCTCCCCAACATGGTGGACTCTTGCCTTTTTAGAACCACAAGCTAAATAAACTCTTCCTTTTATAAGTTCCTGTAGGACCCAGAGATCCGCCTCATTCAACCCCTCCCGACACCACACTGATTGCTCTTTTCAGCTTCTGTGTAATGCTTGAAATGCACACCGGCTGCTACTCCTCCCCTGCTGTTCCCCTTCCAGGAAACTATAGATTAGATAAACCCAGGTATGAACACTGCTCTATAGAGTAAAAATAGATCTATATAACAACCCCTCCAAAAAAAAAAAAAAAAATCTCCACGACCGCATCCTGTACAACCCATCAGTTCAAAGGTGTGTTGGCCAAGCAGGACTCTTGGACCAACCACAAAGTGACACTGTTATTCACCTCCTCCCTTTGTCTCTAACCTATAAAGAGCCCTTTCTTCCCCCACCCGGGGCTCTCAGCATGGTTCTGTTATATCAGTGTGGTCTGAGAGCCCGAGCTTAAGCCTGAATAAACTTTAAACCTTGCTTTTGCATTTATGGTGTGTTGGGTCCTCTTGGGGTCTTCTTGGGGGTCCTGTGAATGAGGTATAACATTCCCTTGGTCATGGTGTTTCTATCACAGTAACAGAAAAGTGACTAATAACAGTAATTGATACTAGAGAGTGGGCTGTTGGCTGTGAAGACCCTGACCATGTTGGCTTTGGGAGGAATGTGGAAGACTTTGGAAGTTTGGACTAGAAAAGCAGTTAATGCTGTAAGCAAAGCTTAATGGGCTGTTCTAGTAGGAGCCTAGAAGAAAGCAGTGCTGAGATCAAAGTAGTTCCAGAGGGAAATAAGGACTTAAACAGCAATTGAGTCTGGCTGGAGTCTGCTCACAATGAAAAAGTTTGCCTGAGGCTAAGTTGAAAAGCAATGGAGGTAGCAAATCTTTTTGTTTTTCTATGCTAATATCAAGGTATCAAACTACATTCCCCTGCATGCTTCAAAAGGAAGCTTCAGATGCCTTCTTTCCCAGCATTCCTGGTTTATTTCTGGGGCCAGAGAAAGGCCAGCTCAGGTGCCTGCTTGCACTTGAGAGATAGCGCCCTCCACTTTCACCCTCCCCATGGCAGAACTGATCCAAAAGAATCTGCAGGGCAAAGTGGAGAAATACCAACAGCAGCAGAAGGACTTGAACAAATCTGTGTCAGGGAGGCAGAAGCTTGAGGCACAACTAACAGAAAACAATATTGAGAAATTGTAACTGACCTTGCTGGATGGATCCAACATGGTTTTTCAACTTCTGGGTCCTGTGCTTGTCAGATAGAAGCTGGAGGAGGCTTGAGTCACAGTGGGGAAGAGGCTAGACTACATCTCAGCTGAAATTAAATATTAGGAATCCCAACTTTGGACCTTGAGAAGCAGAGCAACAGAGGGGATACTCTGGCTCAGCTGCAGCAGAGTTCCAGGGGACCCAGGCAGCAAAGGCAGGGGCTCCTGGGAAGGTCTGACCCCATGGTGGGGTGTAGGGGTTGAAGCAGCTCTGGGGTCTATACTATAGTAGCTAATAACGTGTTTTAAAAAGAAAAGAAAAACAATGGACTAATTTCTTTGATGGAGGACATTTCAAGACAACCTAATGTAGAAATGGTGGTGTGGCTAATAATGGTGAATATTATACAGAGCTATAGTGAAAAAGATCAAAAGGGGCAGAAAGAAATACAGAAGATATTTTTTAAAAAAGCACTAAGAAGGGTTGGAGTCAAGGCTGTGCTGAAGGAGAGGATCTTTTTGATAAGATTAAAGTGACTAAGGAGAGGCCTAGAGACACACTCTTAAACAATGGAGAGAGTGCCTCCAGGGAAAGACCACACCCAGCTAAGCCTCCAATTTGGGAAAGGAAAATGCTGCAGGGCCCATTGAAGAGAAAAGCTTCTAAAGTGGATAAAGCCAGCTGGGGTCTATCCCAAACTTGCAGTCGAACTTGGCAGTGTCGTTCACCTGGTGCTGGCTTTACAGGCATGAAGGATCCAAGCACGAAGGGATCATCAGTTCTTCCTCTAGGTTTCAGAGAGCTTTCAAGGCCAGGCAGGATGCAACAGGGGCATCCCTGCATAAAGAAGGCCCTGACAGGCCAAGAGGCCCTCAAAGCCCTTTGTATGAAGCTGTGAAGGTGAAGCCTGGTTGGCAGTGGAGACCCCAAGAAAACATTCAAGATATCAAAGCTTTGAAACATCTGCCAAGGAGAGCTGCATACAGGGAGTGGTACCAGCCTAGGAAACAGATGTATGTGGCACTCAGCAAAGCTGGAGAGGCTGAGCCAGCTAAGCCCTTCGGAAGAAAAGTCCCAGAAGTCAGATGTGGAGATACTGGAGGTGTTCCCCGGCTGGTTTTCAGTCTTGTTTTGGTCCAATATTTCCTTACTGTGCCTCTATTCCTCCCTTTTGGAATGGAGTATGTATTTGGTTCCACTGTATGATGGGAGTATGTAATTTATCTTTTGATTTTACCTAGGCTTAAAGTTAAGAGATTGCCCTGAGTCTCAGGAGACTTTGGACTGTGGACTTTAGAATAGTATTGAGACTTGTAAAGACTATGGGGACTTTTAAAGTTCAGCTAAATGCATTTTGCATTTTATATGGTCATGAGCCTAGGGGGGCCAAGGAGTGGAATGTGGTGTTTCAAATGAGAATGTCCCCTCATAGCTTCCAAGTATTTGAACATTTTTTTCCCCACTTGGTGATGCTGTTTTGGGAAGACTTGGAAGGTGTGGTCATGCTTGAGGAAACATGTCACTGAGGGAGGGATACAGAGTTCTTAAACCTTGCTTATCTCCAATTGTTCTCTGCTTCCTGTGCCTGTTTGAAGATGTGAGAACTTAGCTTCTGCTCCTCCTCCAGTCACCTCTGCCACTATGCCACCCCATCACTATAGACTCTTGCTCCTTTGGAACTGTAAACTAAATAAATGCTTCCTTTTTATAATTTTCCTTGGTCATGGTGTTTCTATCACAGCAACAGAAAAGTAATAGATCGAGGAATGGTGCTGTGTGGTGGCTATGGTGGCTTAGCTTCCACCTTCTTGACTTAGGTGCTGCTGTAATAGTTATCAAGTGTCCCTGAGCTTCCAGTTGTGTTCCTGGAACTTAGAGGTAGTACTTGCATCTGTCAGAATTGCCAACAGGGCTAAATAAGTGAATTCACTAAATTATTAAGATGAATATAGAATGTACACAGCACCTAGGAATATGAGCAGACACTGAAAATAATTTATAAATTTAGGTTTAGAAGTCAAAAGTAATAAGGAAGATATAAACAACTGTACCTATTGTGAGCTGTAAATTTACCTGAGGAGTGAATGTTTTTAATA